GCCCCGGCCCCCAGGTGGGCACGGGGGGAGCGCTGGGGGGAGTCCGGGGGCTGTGGGGGGCTGTGGGTGTGGGGGGATCGTGGGGAACCATGAGGGGCTATGGGGCACCCAAGGGAGCTCGGGGGGCTGGAGACCCATGGGGAGCTGTTGGGGGGGCGAGGGGAGGCATGAGGGACCCCAGGGAGCTCGGGGGGGTGCGAGGGGGCCATGGGGAACAGTGGGGGGGGGAGTATGGGGGAGCCCAAGGCTCCACGGGGACCTGTGGGGCACAAGGGGGGAGCCCTGGGGAGCTGGGGGGGCACGGTGGGGTGTACAGGTGAACTGGGAGGGGGGCTGGAAGGGACCCTGCCAGGCTGGGGGGCTGTAGGGGGGGCCGGCGGGTCCCTCCTTGAAGGCCCCACTCTGGCTGCCCCCCCTGCCCAGCCCTGCCGGCCCGTGCCGAGGGTCCACGCCTTTGGGAAGGGGGGGCAGGCGCCGCGCAGGGACCCCCGCACCCCCCCCGCCATGCGGGGCTGGCTGCACAAGCAGGTGAGAGCGGGGAGGGGGGTCACGGGATTTTGGGGTTTTGGGGGACCCGGGGGGGGTGCGGGGGTGGAAGGGCTGAGTTGGGGATCAGAGAGGCTTTGGGGGGATCTGGGGCAGTTCGAGGTGCTGGGAGGGTTGTGAGATTTGGGGTCGATATGGGGTGTGTGGGAGTGCTGCGGGTTGTGCAGGGCTGGGGGGTCCGGAGTGGGGGGGTGGGGGGGGTATTTGGGGGTCAGGAGATTTGAAGGGGTTCTGGAGTGTTGGGGGGTCCTGTGGGTGGCTATGCGGGTTGGAGGGGTCGGGGAGGGGGGTATGGGGTTTGGGAAGGTTGTAGGGGACCAGAAACATTTGGTGAGTCTGGGACACTGTGGGGGCATTATGGGATTTGGGGGGTTTGGGATGGGAGAGGGTGTTGGGGGGTTATGGGGGTTGGAAGGGTCTGGGAGGGCAGGGGGTTTATGGGGTTTAGGGAGTTTGAGAGGGCAGGGGGTTTATAGGGTTTGGGTATTTGGGATGGCAGAGGGTTTATGGGGTTTGGAGGATCTAGAATAGTAGGGGGTTATGGGGTTTTGGGGGGTCTGGGATGGCAGGGGGTTTATGGGGTTTGGATGTTTGGGATGGCAGGGGATTTACGGGGTTTGGGGGGATCTAGGGTGGTAGGGGGTTTATGGGGTTTGGATATTTGGGATGGCAGGGTGTTTATGGAGTTTGGAGGGGTTTGGGAGGGCAGGGGGTTTATGGGGTTTTGGTGTTTGGGATGGTAGGGGGTTTATGGGGTTTGGAGGGTCTAGAATAGTAGGGGGTTATGGGGTTTTGGGGGGTCTGGGATGGCAGGGGGTTTATGGGGTTTGGATGTTTGGGATGGCAGGGGGTTTATGGGGTTTGGGGGGGTTTGAGAGGGCAGGGGGTTTATGGGGTTTGGGTGTTTGGGATAGCAGGGGGTTTATGGAGTTTGGGAAATCAGGAGGGGTTGGGGGATCTGGGGCAGCAGAGACCTCCGGGGGAGGGGGTGATGGACTGGGGGGACTCAGCCCCTGTCCCCCCCTCCCCCAGGACAGCTCGGGGCTGCGGCTCTGGAAGCGCCGCTGGTTTGTCCTGGCGGATCTCTGCCTCTACTACTACCGGGGTGAGGGGGGTGGAGGGGCGGGACACCCTGGGGGTGCGGGGACCTGCGGGTGAGGGGGGGCTTGAGCGACCTGGGGTACCTGTGTGGGGGTGTCAGCGATCCTGGGGGATCCCCGGGGCATTGGGGATCCTGGGAGACTGGGGGGCCCTGCGGTGTTGGGGGTTCCTGGGAGTCTCAGGGGTCCCAAGGGGACTAATGGCCCCTGGGAGGATCAGGATTCCTGGGGTATTGGGGGGCTGTAAGGGGGGAGGGCAAAAGACTGGGTGTCCCTGGGGTGTTGGAGGTCCCTGGAGTGGTCAGGGATCCCAGTGGGGTCACGGATCCATGGGGCATTTGAGGGGCTCTGGGGGAGTCAGGGATTCCTGTGGGATTTGGGGTCCCTGGAGCTTGGGGCGTTCCTGGAGGTTCAGGGAGCCCCGGGAATTGGGAGTCCCTGGGGCACTGGGGGGTCTCAGGACGGGACGGGGATTCTGACAGGATCTGGGGTCCCTGGGGCGTTGGGGGTCCCTGGGGGATTGAAAAGGTCCTTGGTGGGGTTCTGAGGTCTGGGGGGGCTCTGGAGGTTTGGGGGCAGCCGATGGGACTCAGAGGAGTTCCCAGCACCCCCCTGGTGATCCTGGGGGTCTCGGGGTGCCCGCGGAGTCCCTGGCACCCCCGCTCTGATCCCTCTTTGCCCCCCAGACAGCAGCGAGCAGCGAGTGCGGGGCGGGCTCCCCCTGCCCGGCTACGAGATCCGCGTCCTACCCCCCGCCCCCCGCTCCCCCCAGTTCCTGTTCACGGTCAGCCCCGGGGCCGCGGATCCGGGGGTGCCCTGGGTGGGGGGACAGGCCCCGAAGACCCGGCCCCCCAACCATGGAACCCCCTCGTTCCCAGGCCGAGCACCCCGGGATGCGAACGTACTGCCTGGGGGCTGAGACCCCCGAGGAGCTGCACGCCTGGGTCTGTGCCCTGCGCCGGGGGGCATCGCCCCTGCCCGGCTCAGTGGGGTACGGGGGCTTAGGGGCACAGGGGGTACGGGGGGCATCGCCCCTGCCCGGCTCAGTGGGGTACGGGGGCTTAGGGGCACAGGGGGTACGGGGGGCATCGCCCTTGCTCGGTAAAGAGGTTAGAGGGGGTAGGAGGGCGCAGGGGGCATTGTCCCTGCCCGGGGGAGTGGGATACGGGGGGCACGGGGAGCACCGGGGGGCACAGGAGGCATCGCCCCTGCCGGAGGAAGGGGGTATGGGGGGCACGGCGGGACCGGGGTCATCGCTCTTGTCCGGGTAAGTGGGGTAGGGGCACACGGGGGGCATCGGTGCCCCTTGCTCGGTAAATGGGGTAAGGGGGGTATGAGGGGACAGGGGCATTGTCCCTGCTCGGGGGAGTGGGATACGGGGGGCATGGGGGGCATCGCCCCTGCCCGGGTGAGGAGGGTATGGGGGGCACTGGATGGCAGTAGGTGGCATGGGGGGCATCGCTCTTGTCCGGGTAAGTGAGGTAGGGGTTCACGGGGGTCACGGGGGCATCGCCCCTGCCCGGGGAGTCGGGTAGTGGGGCACGGAGGCACCGGGGGGCACTGCCCCTGCCAGGGTGAGTGACGTACGGGGGGTATAGGGTACCGGGGGCATCGCCTCTGCCTGGGCGAGGAGGGTATGGGGGGCACGGGGGCACCGGGGGGCATCGCCCTGCCGGAGAGAGTGGGGTACGAGTGGCACAGGAGCACTGGGGGGGCTGGATCCATGAGGGGGCACAAGGAGCCTGAGTACTGAGGGGTTTGGAGGAGGTTTGGGGGATCCCAGAAGGCGAGAAGAGGTGGGAGAGTTTGGGGGGGTCAGAGAGAGCTTGGGGGGATTGGTGGGGGGGTCACAGAGTGCTGGGGGGGGGTTGGGGGGCAGTTAACCCTTTAACACCTCTTTTCTCCCCCCTCCCCAGCTCCCCCCGCTCCCTGTCCCCGCAGACACCCCAGGACCCCCCCGGTGCGGGTCCCCCCTCGCCCCCATTGCCCACCCGCCCCCCTGGATGGTGCTCCCCGTGCCCCCGGGGGGAGGGGCTGGGGGGCCCCCCCGTGCCCCCCCCTCGCCGCCCCCCGCTCCCTCCGCTGCCCCCCGGCGAGGTGAGCTGGGGGGGCACTGGGACTTGTACTGGGGGAGGGGGACAGTTACTGGGGTGATTGTGGGGCAGGTCTGTGGGGCAGGCTGGGGGGCTAAGAGGTAAGAGGGAGTTATGGGGCAAAAGGGGGGGGCTCTGGGGCAGGAGGGGGGTTATAGGGCAGGAAGGGCTCTGAGGCAGAAGGAGGGGCTCAGGGGCAGAGGGTTATGGGGCAGGTGGGGCTACGGGGGAGAGAGGGGGAGGCTACGGGTTAGGAGGGGTTATGGGGCAGAGTAGGGGGCCTATGGGGAAGGAGGGTGGGGATTTGGGGCAGGAGGGGCTGTGGGGCAGGGTGGGGGAGCTCTGGGGCAGGGTGGGGGAGCTCTGGGGCAGAGGAGGGGCTCTGGGGCAGGGCAGGGGTCTCTGGATGGGGCAGGAGGAGGAGGGGGTGCTCTGGGACAGAGGAGGGGTCCCTGGGGCAGAGAGTGGGTCTCTGGAGCCGGGGGGGTGGCAGGAGGGGGGGCTCTAGGCAGAGGAGGGGTCTCCGGGGCAGAGGGTGGGCCCTGGCACAGGAGAGGGTGTCAGGGGCAGAGGGTGGGCTCTAGGGCAGGACGGAGTGCTCTGTGGGGCAGAAAGTGGGTCTCTGAAGCCGGGGGGGGGGCAGGAAGAGGGGCCCTGGGCAGAGGAGGCGTCCCTGGAGCCGAGGGGGGTCTCAGGGGCAGACGAGGGGTCTCTGTAGCCGAGGGGACGGAGCAACTCCGGGGACGCCGCGGGTCAGGCTGGAGCATCGGTCCCTCCTGTGCCCTCCCGCAGGTGCCCCCAGCGCAGGAGGAGCTCTCGGCCCGGGAGGACCCCGGGGCCGCTCTGGGGGGACCGCGGGGACGTCCCAACCCCGAAACCACTCCCGCAGGTGGGTCCGGCCCCGCCCCCGCCCCGCCTCCTTTAGCGAGCAAAGCCCCGCCCCCTCTGACCCCGCCTCTCTCAGGGCGGAGCCCGAGGAAGCCCCGCCCCGCCGGAGCCGAGCGCGAGCTGGAGCGACACCCCGCGGCCAATCAGACGTCGAGCTCCGCGCCCGCAGCCAATGAGGCGTCGCCGCGGCGGCGGGCGGGGGCGGGGGGGCGTGGCCGGGGGCTCGAGGGCGCGGCCGGGCGGCCAATCAGAATCACGGTGCTGCGGGCCAGCTTCTGAGGGGGGCGGAGGGGCGGGGCCCAGCGCGAGGGGGCGGGGCCGTGTGGCCACACGGCCCCGCCCCCTCGCGCTGGGCCCCGCCCCGGTGCGGAAGATGGCGGCGGGGGCGCGCGGCGGGAGCGCGGCGCTGCGGCGGCTGCGGGGCGGGGGCGCGGCCCCGGGGGGCGCGCGGTGAGTGCGGGGGGACCCGGGGGAACCCAACCCTGACCCATCCCACCCGGCATCCCCCCCAGACCTCCCCCGCACCCCAGCGAGGAGCCGCCTCCCCGCCTCATCATCCCCTATCCCGAGAGCCCCCCCGGACGCCGCGGCACCCCCGGATCCCTCCGAGCCTTGGCGGGGATCCCCGGACACCCCTCGCCTGAGCGCCCTGATCGTGCCTCCCCGGGTCCCGCATCGCCCTCCTGGGCGCCGCATCCTCCACTCGCACCCCGCGACCCCCTGCGCGGGGACCCCTCATCCCTCCCCCGAGAGCCCTCCGGACCCCGCAATCCCCCCTACACCTCGCGGCCCTCCTGGCGGGGACCCCCGGACCCCCACCCCCGAGCCCCCTGATCCCCCTCCGGGCCCCGCATCTTCCTCGAAACCCGCATCCGGACCCCGCGAGCTCCGGGCAGGGGCCTCGCACCCCCGTCCCTGACCGCGCATCCCGCCCCGGACTCCCCATCTCTCGCACCTGCGAGCCCTCGGATCCCGCGGACCCCGGGCGGGGACCCCCGTACTCCCCTCCTCCCAGCCCCCGATTTCCCCCCCGGACCCCGCATCTTCCCCGAAACTCGCATCGCCCTCCCTCGACCCCCGTGCGGGGACCCCGCACTCGCCGCCCCTGAGACCCCGATCTCACCCCGGACCCCACTCCCTCCTCCCCTGAGCCCCCCGGAGCCCACATCCCCCCCGGAGCCCGCGGCCCTGCCGGACCCCCCCGGCGGCCCCCGGGGCGGCCCCGCGGTCGTTGCCTCACGCCGGGGCAAAGGTCCGCCCGCAGCTCGGACCCGGGGCCGAGGGGCCCCCGCTCCCCCCCCGCCGCTGCCCCGGGGGGGCGGCCCCGCGTCCCTCGGCGGGCACAGGGGGTCGGGCTGGGGGGGCTGCCCTCTCATTCCACGCCCCGTTGCCCATGGAGGGGGTCACTGCCGCCAGAGTACCCCTGGCACTGATGGGGAGCTCTGGGGGGCAAGTTGAGGAGCTGCCTCCCTGCCCCATGTGCCCTTGTCCCTTTGTCCCCATGCTCATGGATGGGGTCACTGCCACTGGAGTGGCTCCTGGAACTTAAGGGGGTCCCTGAGATCAGGTTGGGGGGCTGCCCCCTCACCTCATGTCCCCTTGACCACAGAGGGGTCACCACCACTGGAGTAGCCCCTGGGGCTGGGGGGGGGTCCCTGAGGTCAGGTTGGGGACTGACCCTCTTGCCCCATGTCCCCTTGCCCATGGAGGAGGTCACTGCCACTGGAGTGGCTCTTGGAACTGATGGCTCTGGGGGACAAGTTGGGGGCTTCCCCTCTGCCCCATGTGCCCTTGTCCCCTTGCCCATGGAGGGGGTCACTGCCACCAGAGTGGCCCCTGGGGCTGAGGGGGTCCCTGGGGGCAGGTTGGGAGGCTGCCCCCCTTGCCCCGTGTCCCCTTGACCACAGAGGGGTCAGTGCCACTGGAGCAGCCCCTGGGGCCGAGAGGGTTCTGTGGGGGCTGGCTGGGGGAATGCCCCCATCACCCCATGTCCCCTTGTCCCCTTGCTGATGGAGGGGGTCACTGCCACTGGAGTGGCCCCTGGAGCTGAGGGGTGTCCCATGGCGAGCTGCCCCCTCCCCCTTTGTCCCCTTTCCCCTGGAAGGGTCCCCCTCCTGACCTGGGGCTCCCTGAAGGCAGGTTGTGGGGCTGCCCCCCTCTCCCCACATCCCACCTTGGTGTCATTGCCCTGTCGGGGCAGCGTGGCCAAAATCCCTCCGGGTTCTGGGATCCGCCTGGATTCTGGGGGACAGACTGGAACTGCAGACAGACCCCCCGAACTGGGACAGGGCTCCCATCTCCCAGTATGGACTGACTGGAACCCACCGAAGCCCCCCAGGATGGAGGGAGTTCCCCCCAGCTGGACAATGGTGTGGCTGCCCAGGACTGGCAGCGTGGGCTCTGGATCCCGTGTCGCCCTCCAGCCGGTCATTCCCGGTCCCTCCCTGTGCTGCCCCCATGGAGGGGTGTGTGGGGGCTCCCCCTGACCCGCTGTCCCGCAGGGGGTACTCCCAGGAGGCCGAGGGCAGCTGGTTCCGCTCCCTCTTCGTGCACAAGGTGGATCCGCGCAAGGACGCGCACTCCAACCTGCTCTCCAAGAGGGAGACCAGCAACCTCTACAAGATCCAGTGTGAGTGATCCCAGCGGGCTGGGGGGGCACAGAGGGGGGGCTGCCCCCTCCCACCCGGCTCCCCTGCCCTCCTTCCCCCTTTCCCAGCCCCTCTCTCCTCTCCCTGCAGTTCACAACGTGAAGCCGGAATGCCTGGAAACCTACAACAAGCTGACGTGAGCACACGTTGAGGGATATCCCAGTGGGATACTGGGGGGCTGTCCTGGAGCAAAAGGGGTGGGAGGGCTTGTGCAGAGCTCCTCGAGTGCCTGGGTCGATCCATGTCCCTGCTCCCTGCCTCGATCCAAGTTTCCCTGGTTGCCTCCCCCAGAGTGCTGCAGATCCCTCCATGTCCTGGGAGGGCACACAGGGGAGGTTTTTTGGGGTGCTGCCCCCCACCCCACTGCCCCCCCACTGTTCCCCCGCAGAGAGGAGGTGCTGCCCAAGCTCCACTCGGACCCCGACTACCCCTGTGACCTGGTGGGCAACTGGAACACCTGGTATGGCGAGCAGGACCAGGCAGGTGAGGGCGGGTGGGCAGCAGCTCCTGGTGCCAAAGGCAGAGAGCTCAGGTGGGATTTTGGGGTGTTTCCCCCCGTTCCCCACTCCCAACCCCTCTCTGCAGTGCACCTGTGGCGCTTCTCGGGCGGGTACCCGGCGCTCATGGACTGCATGAACAAGCTGAGGCAGAACAAGGTACCAGCGGGGAGGGGGGGTGATACCCCTGTGCCCACCCCCCCAGGGCCCCATGGCCCCCACCCCGACCCCCCCCGGCTGGGGCTGTCCCCAGGAGTACCTGGACTTCCGCAAGGAGAGGAGCCGGATGCTGCTGTCCCGCAGGAACCAGCTGCTCCTGGAGTTCAGCTTCTGGAACGAGCCCCAGCCCCGGCAGGGACCCAACATCTACGAGCTCAGGACCTATAAGCTGAAGGTGGGGGGTCACACTGTGCTTCGGGGTGGTCTCCAGGCTGATGTGCCTGCCCCCTGGGTGGTGTTTTGGGGGGGAAGGCCCCCCTAAATCCCTCCCCCCTTGAGGAGACCCCGGGCTCTGACTGGTTTTTCTCCCCTGCTCCCAGCCAGGGACCATGATTGAATGGGGCAACAACTGGTAAGAGACTGGTTTCCCAGCACCGGTTTCCCAGATTTTCCAAGGTGGGAAAAGGTCCCTCTGGAGCAGGGTGGACCCCTGGGCAGCCCCCCCAGTGTGTCCTGCTCCGTGCCAGGGCTCGGGCCATCAAGTACCGGCAGGAGAACCAGGAGGCAGTCGGGGGGTTCTTCTCCCAGATCGGGGAGCTCTACGTGGTCCATCACCTCTGGGGTAAGGGGGGGACACCTGGGGGGTGGAGGGACGGGCTGGGGGGCTCGGGGTGCCAGTGCCACCCTGTCCCTGCAGCCTACAAGGATCTGCAGTCCCGGGAGGAGACGAGAAACGCAGCCTGGAGGAAGAGGGGCTGGGATGAGAACGTGTATTACACGGGTCAGTGGGACCCCCACCCTGCTCTGGGGACCCCAACCCTGCTCTGGGGACCCCCTTTCCCTGCTGGGCACCCCCACCCTGCTTGGGACCCCTTGCCTGTGCAGGAGACCCCACCTGGCTCTGGGGACCCCCTGCCCTTGCTGGGAACCCCACCTTGCTTTGGGGACCCCAACCCTGCTTTGGGGACCTCCTGCCTGCTCCGGGGACACCCACCCTGCTTTGGAGACCCTATCCTGCTTTGAGGGACCCCATCCTGCTTTGAGGGACCCCATCCTGATTTGGGAATCCCCTGCCCCTGCTGGGGACCCCCACCTGGCTTTGGGGACCCCCACCCAGGTTTGGGGACCTGAGCCCTGCTCTGGGGACCCCCTGCCCTCATCTCTCTCCTGTTTCCCTCCCCAGTCCCGCTGATCCGGACCATGGAATCCCGGATAATGATCCCGCTGAAGATTTCCCCCCTGCAGTGACGGGGGGGCCGTGCCTGGGGGTCTCCCTGCACCCCGAGGGGCTCCCTGCCTGTGCCCCCACCCTGCTGGGGAAGGGCTGGGGGGGCTCTGCACTCCCTCAGCTCCCTGCTGTCCCCCCCTCCCCGTTTTGGGGTGCCCTGTGGGGGCTGAGAGCAGGGAAGGGACAGTGGGGGCCCCCCATCCTGTGGTGGGTGCCCAGGATGGCACTGCCAGGGGGGCTGGGCAGGCTGCAGAGGTGGGGGGGGCTTAATTGCCCCTGGTGGGCCCAGTGGGTGCCTTTGCTGCCAATTAAATATTTAATATGCCAAAGCCTGGGCCCCTCTTGGGGTGGGGATGGGGGGTGCTGGGGGTGCTGCGTCCCCCCTGGCATGGGGGGTGACCCCCAGCCTGCTCTCAGCCAGGGGGCTGCCCTGCCCTGTGCCAGACCCCCACCCGTGGGTGCCATGACACACTGACGACCCCCCAAAGCCCCTGCGTGCCCCCAGTGCTACTGGGAACCTCATCCCATGCCCATGGATACTCCCAAGTGCTACTGGGAACCTCATCCCACACCCATGGATAACCCCAATGCCACTGGAGACCTCATTCCAAGCCCATGGATACTCCCAAGTGTCTCTGGGGACCCCATCCTGTACCCCCCCCTATGGATACCCCCAGTGCCCCCCAAGTCCCTGGATCCCCCCAGTGCCATTAGGGACCCCCTCTCATGCCCCTCCAAGTCCCTGGGTACCCCCAGCATCACTGGGGGCCCCAACCCAACCCCCTCCAAGCCCATGGGTACCCCCAGTGCCACTGGGGACCTCGTCCCATGACCCCCTCCCCCAAACCCATGGACCCCCAGTGTTATTGGGACCCCATCCCAAGCCTCCAAAACCCCATGGATCCCCCCAGAACCACAGGGGACCCCATCCTGTGCCCTCCTCCAGCTCCCGTGTGCCCCCCCGCCCCATCAGAGATCCCACCCCAAACCCAAGGATCCCCCCAGCACCACCGGGGACTCCACCCTGTGGTCCCCCGAGTCCATGGATCCACCCAGTGCTATTGGGGTATTGCCCTCCCCTGCCCTTCCAAGCGTGTGGGTGCCCACAGTGCCACTGAGGACCCCATCCCAAGCCCCCACAAACCCATGGATACCCCCAGTTTTATTGGGACCCCATCCCAAGCCCCCACAAACGCATGGATACCTCCCTCCATCACCGAGGACCCCATCCCGTTGCCTCCCAGCCCCATCACTGATCCCACCCCAAGCTCGTGGATCCCCCTCAGCGCCTCCGGGACCCCCTACCCGAGCCACCCCCATTCCTGCGGGTGCCCTTGTGCCCCAGGAGCCTCCCCAGCCCCACCCGTGGGCCCATCGCGGGGGTCCTGCCCCCCTCCCCCCCGGCTTTATGAATGGGGGCTCTGACCACGCCCCTTCGTTAAAACCACGCCCCTTTGCTGAAGCCACGCCTCCATTCTCGGGGCCACACCCCTCGCTCGCGGTCCTCCAGGGTGGCGGTGCCCGCCAGGGGGCGCTGTAGCAGCCGAGGCCGCGCGCGCCACTGCCGCGCCGCGCTCTCTTGTTTTGTGACGTCACTTCCGGGAGGCTGTGGTGCGTGAGGAGCGCGGTGAGAGCGGGGAGCGAGCGGGACCCCCGAGGGGGCACCGGGACCCCCGGGATGGGGAGCTCCGGGAGGGACAGGGAGCCGGGGTCGGTGTGCAGGGGTGTGAGGAGGGCTTCGGGGAGCGGAGGGTCCCGGGGTTGGTGGTCGGGGGGCGGCTCGGAGGGGCGGAGGGTCCGGGATCGGTGTTCGGGGGGGGCTCAGGGGGAGGGGAGGCCCCGTGCTGGGTTTCTGGGCAGCTCCGGAGGGGCCCAGGGTCCCGGGATTGATGTGCTGGGCTCTGGAGGGTCAGGGGGAGTGAAGGGTCGCGGGTCCGGTGTGCTGGGGGGCTGGGGGGGCTCAGGGGGAGCGGAGAGTCCCGGTTTGGAGGTCTGGGGAGGCTCAGGAGTGGAGGGTGCCGAGTCCGGTGTGCTGGGGGTCTGGGGGGGGCTCAGTGGGAGCGGAGGGTCCCAGGTCTGGGGTTCTGCAGGTCTGGGGGGGGCTCAGTAGAAGGGAAGGGTTCCGGGTGGAGGCGTTTGGGGAGCGGCGGAGGGTCCGGGCCCGCCGTGCTGGGTTTCGGGGTAGGGGAGCCCCGGGATCGCTGTTCTGGGGCCTGCGGGGCTCCGGAGGGGTGGAGGGTCCTGATCCGGGGGTCTGGGCTGGGTTGGAGGAACAGAGACCCCGGATCCGATGTGCTCTGGGGGCTCTGGAGGAGTGGAGGGGCTCGGGGGGCTTGGAGTAGGGGAGGGTCCCGGGTCTGGGGGGGGCTCTGGTGAAGCAGGAGCCCCTGCGTTTGGTGCACGGTGGTCTGGGGGGCTCTGGATGAGGGGTGGGTTCCTTGCCTGGGGGTCTGGGAGGGCTCTAGAGAAGAGGAGGGTCGGCAGTCTGGGTGCTTAGGTGAAGCGCAGCCCCTGGGCCCTTTGTGCTGGGTCTGGGGGCTCCAAAGGGGTTGAGCCCCAGGGCCTGATGTGCTGGGGGTCTGGAGGGCTCAGAGGAGCAGAGACCCCCAGTCCCACAGCGCTGAGGGTCTGGGGGGAGGCTCTGGAGACCCTGTGTCTGGTTGTTGGGGTCTGGGGGGATCAGTGGGGGTGGAGGGTCCTGGTCTGGGTGGGGGGGCTGCGGTGGAGCAGAGACCCCAGACCCTCTGTGCTGCTGGGGCTGGGAGAAGCTGGTGGGAGAAATCCTGGGAGGGGGCGGGAGGCGCAGGGGCTGCCCCAGGATCCTGCAGAGCCCGGGACAGGCTGGGGGAGGGATTCCGGGACAGCCCTGATCCCAGGTGGTTTGTGCCCCCACGGACCCCCCCCCCGTGCCCCTCCCCAGCCCTGCTGCCCCCACCATGTCCTCGGAGTCCAGCAAGAAGAGGAAGCCCAAGGTGATCCGCTCGGATGTGCCACCGGAGGGGAAACGGGGCAAGGGAGACACCGACCAGGTATGGAATGCACAGGGAACAGGGACCTGCCTGCACAGGGATCAGGGATCTTTCCACTCCTGCTCCAGGCTGGCCTCCTGTTTCCCTGAGGGAAAATGGGTTTTCCAGAGCAGCTGTGGCTGCCCCTGGATCCTTGGAAGTGTCCCAGGCCAGGTTGGACGGGGCTTGGAGCAACCTGGGCTGGTGGGAGGTGTCCCTGCCCATGGCAGGGGGTGGGATGGAATGAGCTTTAAGATCTATTCCCACACCAGGTCCATGAGAACACCTGGAGAAGAGAAGGCTCCATGGACACCCTGGAGCTCCTTCCAGGCCCTAAAGGGGCTCCAGGAGAGCTGGAGAGAGACTTGGGACATGGGATGGAGGGACAGGACACAGGGAATGGCTTCCCACTGCCAGAGGGCAGGATTAGATGGGATACTGGGAAGGAATCCTTCCCTGGAGGGTGGGGAGGCCCTGGCACAGGTTGCCCAGAAAAGCTGTGGCTGCCCCTGGATCCCTGGAAGTGTCCAAGGCCAGGTTGGAGCAACCTGGACTAGTGGAAGGTGTCCCTGCCCGTGGAATGTGATGATCTTTAAGGTCCCTCCCAACCAAACCATTTTGGATTTGTGAGACTGTTCCCCAGAGCCTCTGAAACTCCCACTGTGAATTCCTGAGTCCTCTCCATGTGTAAAGCCATGGGATTCACAGGCAGATCCAGGGGCTGTGTCTCCCAGAGCCCTTCCCAGTGGGAGGAATGAGCCATGGACTGTGGTGTTTGTTTCTGCAGGATGTCAGGTACTACAGTGAGGAGAGCGAGGTGGATCTGCGGGACCCCATCAAGGACTACGAGCTCTACAGGGAGACCTGCCAGGAGCTCCAGAGGCTCATGGCAGAGATCCAGGAGCTGAAGAGCCGGGGGATCAAGGAAAACGTAAGGAGAGGCCTTGGCATGTGGTGGAGTGGGTCTGTCCTTTGGTGTTTTCCCATTAATCCCAGAGGAATGGGAGCAGGAGCTGTGATGTCTCCTGGGGAGAGTCAGGGAAAGGCAGCAGCTTCCCATATTCCTGGGGCAGGGATTGAGCCTTGGAAATGGAACAGCCTCCCTTGTCTTGGGCTCCTGGGACAGGGATGGAGCCCTGGAAATGGAAAGAGCTTCTCTTGTCCCAGGCTGCTGGATCGGGGAAGTGGGAACAGCCTCCCTTGTTCCAGTCTGCTGGGACAGGGATTGAGCCCCTGGAAATGGCCTCCTAGGGCAGGGATTGAGCCCTGGAAAAGGAACAACCTCTCTTGTCCCAGACTCCTGGAGCAGGGATTGAGCCCCGAAGATGGAAGAGCTTCCCATGTCCTGGGCTACCGTGTCAGGATTGAACTCCTGTAAATGGGAACAGCCTCCCTTGTTTTGGACTCCTGGGACACGGATTGAGCCCTGGGAATGGAACAGCCTCCCTTATCCCAGACTCCTGGGACACGGATTGAGCCCTGGGAATGGAACAGCCTCCCTTATCCCAGACTCCTGGGGCAGGGATTGAGCCCTGGGAATGGAACAGCCTCCCTTATCCCAGACTCCTGGGGCAGGGATTGAGCCCTGGGAATGGAACAGCCTCCCTTATCCCAGGCTCCTGGGACACCTGAGTGCTTGAGGCTCAACTACCCCTGTTCCTACCACTGTGAAAACTCCCTGGAGTGATTTCTGAGGAGCCTGGGCCCCCCTCCCAGTTCTTTCCAGCGGGTCCCTGTGATCCGACAGCAGGAGCCTCCCTGGGGAGCCCCAGTGACACAAACGTGACTCCTCGGCAAAGTGTGGAGCCCGTTTTGTGCCGGGACCCGCAGGAATTCCCTGAGTGAAGGGTCTCCCTGGTTCCAGCCATCCCTGCTGATCCCAGCCCCCCTTCCCACCCCCCAGGCCTCGGAGATCGACGAGCGGCGCGTCCAGAGCTGCGTCCACTTCATGACCCTGAAGAAGCTCAACCGCCTGGCCCACATCCGCCTCAAGAAAGGCAGGGACCAGACCCACGAGGTAAAGGGGGCATCCAGGCTGGGATTTAGGGGGAGGTGGGGCTCTCTCTGCTCTGTGAGGAGTTACACACCAGCCAGGTCCAGGGGATTGGGTTGGTGGTTTATCCAGAGATCCGACCCTGGAAAACTCCTGATGGGTGCAGGGGAGCTGTAATTGTAATGGTTCATGAAGGACGGGTGTCTGCCTCTGTTTTGAACATAATGGGGGGTCAGAAAGGCCCATCGGGTGCATAAAGGGGTGTATGATTGCCCTGGAAGCTCTGGAGTTCTTGGAGAGGGGACTCAGTCCGTATGCTTGTCCTGTT